GAGCAGCATCAGTTTCTGCTTTTCTTCCAGGGACTTTTGGACAGGAGGTAGATGTCCTTGGAGCTTTCTTGGTGGCTCAGATGATAAAGAATCTGCCTGCAATGCTGGAGTTTGATCCCTGGGTCGGGAAGATCCCCTGGAGAAGGGAATGGCTACCCACTCCAGTATTCTTGCCTGGAGAATCCCATGGATAGAGGAGCCTGGCGTGACTAACACTGGACATCCTTGGATTTTCTCTTCTCCTACTGCCAGCATGTTTCTAAAGACGTGCATTCAAGGACTGGCTAATGGGGATTAAAGAGGCTGTATGGGAATCGTATCTGACCCTTGACCCTTTTCCTGGACAGTGTACACTTTAATTGCTTAGACTTACACATTTTTTAAAACTTTAAGCCTTTTTATTTTGTATTGGAGTATAGCTGATTAATAATGTTGTAATAGCTTCAGGTGAACAAGACAGGGACTTAGCCATACATACACCTGTATCTGTTCTCCCCCAAACTCACCTCTCATCCAGGTTGCCACATAACATTGTAGACTTACAGAATTTTAGACTTAAAAAAAATTTAAAGGCCATCAACGATAAAGTATAACATAACACAGAAATTCCTTTGTGGATATTCTGAATATTTTTAATATCTTTTGTCTCTTTGAAGAGCTCTAGAAATTAGAAGCTTCCTTCTAATTAGTAGTTCTTAGAAAGACTATAGGACCTAGAGTCAGACGACTTGTATTACAATCTACCCTCAATTGTAGGATGACCTTGCAAGCTGAGTAACATTGAGTTGTACACAGCTAACCTCAAAACTGTCTTTAGGGGGCAGCTAGCTTCTAATAGTTAACTTCTAGACTGTCTTTAGGGGGCAGTACTAAACCACAAAATTTATAATATAAATTTTGCTATTTTTGCTAATGCTATTGGCAAATGTTAATATAAAATAAAACTAAAATAACAATAATGAGACTTGTGATGCAATTATATATACCTCTTATTTGTAGTAAAATTTTCTATGTAGTCAAATGAAATGGTAGTTTAAAACTCATTCCTTTAATGATTTATTTAATAAATAATTATTAAATTACATTATGCACAACTTATGGTAAGAGATGCAAATATGAATAAGCCATATTTGTTTCCAGATAATTTACAATTAACTAAGACAAATAATTTGTGTTTGTGTGTATACAACTCTTTCAGGCTAAAGATTATAATAAAAATAACATTTATTGATTATTTTTTATGGGCTTCCATAGGAGGTAGCTCAGTGGTAAAGAGTCTGCCTGCAATGCAAGAGACACGGAAGACGCGCCTTTGATCCCTGGGTCTAGAGGAGCCCCTGGAGGAAGAAATGGCACCCCCTCCAGTATTCTTGCTAGGAAAATCCCACCAGGGAAGTCCGCTGTCAAGCAACTAATTTTATCCTCATATAACCCCTTAAAGTAGGAATTATTATTATGCCTACTTTGCAGATAAGGAAACTGAGGATTAGTAGGATTATGTGATTTGCTCAGTAACACATCTTGCAAGTGGCAGAGCCAGGAATATCTATCTATTTGAATGTATTTCATATATATCTGTTTGACTTTAAAACTTTTGCTGTTTGCCACTATACCGTTTGTCATTTCAAAGTCTATGTGAAATAACAGAATACACAAACTGACAGAAAGAATTGAAGACTTTCAGAAGAAAGCAACATCCTTCCTGTTTGTGATAAATCTAGAAAATTTTATGTAAGAGGTGAAATCTGAACTGTATTTTGAGGAATCAATAGTATTATAGGAGAATAATAGCTAAACACAGTGGTTAATACTTACTGAAACCTCACTGTGTGTCAGGCACCATATATTCATTACCTTATTTTTCAGGAAAAATTTCTAAGGGAGGTGTATACTACTGTATTATTTTCCCACTGCATAGATAAAGTAAGTGAGGCTGCCAGTGGTCCTATACTCTGAAAATCACACTAATTAGTAGGCTAAAAAGTAAGAGAGTTAGAACTTGAATCCAGGACTAATTTTTAGAGTCTAAACTCTTAACCAGTACAGACAGTTGTATGGAGAAGTAAGGTGGAGGGCATGAACGAAAGCACAGAACAAATTAGGAAAGGATAAATAATTCCATTTGGCTGTAGCCTTGGGAGAATAAAAGGGAGTAAGAAAGGGGCTGAAAAATAATTTGACCGTAAAACCTTGAAGCCATATTAAGGAATAGGAATATTATTTGCTCTACAGTGGGAAGTGACTGAAGAATTATGAGCTGGGAAGCGACATAAGCAGTTTTTCTTTGGGGAGGAGAAAGAGACAGAAGAAAAAACTTATTATTCTATAAAATGTTGATAATTGTTAGCCAAGCATATGATTTATACTGCCATATGTGTCAGCCTTGATGGTCAAACCAATAATTGATCATGAGTTGGTGAAGAAGATGCCCTTTTGATCATTCTAGTCATTTTTATAGATAGCATTGATCAAACATATGGATTGGATGCCCTAGAGATAAGCAGTCTGGATTAGGATCATTTTTCTGTCACTTACAATCTCCATGACCTTGAGTTTTGCTTGACTTCTTGTGGCTTAGTTTAGTATTTTCCTGAAAGTCTTGTGTGAATTAAAATAATGAATAATAGAGGGCTCAGTAGATTGTAGCACTGTATTATTGTGTTATAATTATAATTATAAAAGCACTGTAGCATTGTATTATATCTTACAGACAGTAACTCATTGAAGGACCATTGAAGCTCTTAATTTCTCAGTTATTGAAAATTGATAAAGGGAAATGTAAGATGGGAATGCAAAAACCAGTTTTATTGTGAAGTCTTTTATGCTATTTTTTAAAGCAACAACTTTTACCGGGACATGGGTGCTATTTACAATTCAGTATGTAAACTATCTTTACTAACTTCAGTAATCATGATCTATCAACATTATACTGAACACTAGACTCTGAATATTTCTAGACAAACTTATTGTCTTTGCTATTTAAAAAAAATACTATCTGCTGAATATTCAGCAGGCTCTTTTAATGTGGAATTTTTCTTTCGTCCTGGCAAAATTTCTTGCATTGATACTTTGACAATCTCTTTTTACCTCTACTTGGAACTCTTAGTTTGATCCCTTAATTTTCTTAACTTTTAACTTATTTTATTCTGTCCTCTGGGAAATTTGCTCAGACTTATTTTCCAACTCTTCTATTGGATTTTATGTATTCTCTCTCTTTCTGAGGATACTGTTTATAATTTTTCTCTGTATATTTAGTTTGGCCTGTTAAAAGCTTCTTCCCAATATATGGCTATCATTATACCCTTGTTCATATTTAACTGAAAAATTAGGAACTGTTTATGTGGATGAAGTTTGTTGAGGAGGGGTTTCACAGTAAGCATTAAGACATGGACCCCTCTACCATTTTCCTAAGTACTTAGAGATTGGTTGTTTTTTTTTTTGTTTTTTTTTTTTTTGAGCAGTCCAGAGGAGTATACTCTCATCTGCTACCTGGGAGATATAAACTTAGCTGCCATGTTCTCTAAGACAAATGTGGGAAGAAGGCACTGGGGCAGGTTGAGCATCTTTATTTACTACATAGATATTCACTTAATTTCATTGTTTTTAAGACCCAGAGGGATCAGGTGGAGAGGGAGGTGGGAAGGGGGACCGGGATGGGGAATACATGTAAATCCAAGGCTAATTCATTTCAATGTATAACAAAAACTACTGTAATGATGTAAAGTAATTAGCCTCCAACTAATAAAAATAAATGGGAAAAAAATAAAATTTAAAAAAAAATAGGCATCCCTCAGTTCATTGTGCCTGGTTTCTTAGAATTCATAATCCCTTAGCTTCAACCTCACCAGAAAGTAAATCTCCAATTTCTTGTCAGGTGGTGAAGGTTTATTTTCTTGGCTGGGTGATGAGTTTGGGGTCTAATTTCTAGTATAGAGTTTCTATTCTGTTTTAGCTCCACCAACACCTACAAAATGTCTTGCATTATTACCTCACAGGTAGTCAGTCTCTCTCATTCTTAAGTCCTTTAGAGGTGTTGAATCATGAGTAGATCTGCTTCTTATTCTTCCTCTTTGCAGACAATTTGCTTTCCGTTTCCTCAAGTTTTCTATATGAAATTGATAAATCATTTGTTTTTCATTGTCTAAATGTTTTCTTTTTTTTTTTTTTTGAGCCTCTAGATGTTTTCTTGATATTGCTCATCTATTAACTTCCCCCCTGTTGTCCTTGTCCTTATGGTTAAGATCATTTTTGCAAAAGTTTTGCTGTCATTTAAGTGAGATTTGGAAAGTAGCAAAACTAAATATGTTTGCTTAGCATGGAAGTCCTATTATTAACTTTAAAAGTATCACCCCTCTTACAAGGGCTTCCCAGGAGACATAAGAGACACGGGTTCAATCCCTGGGTGTGGAAGATCCCTTGGAGGAGGGCATAGCTCCCGACTCCAGTATTCTTGTCTAAAGAATCCCATGGACAGAGGAGCCTGGTGGGCTACAGTCTAGGTGTTGCAAAGAGTTGACCATGACTGAAGCGACTTAGCACATACCCCTCTTATGCATATAATATGAAATTTTATGAATTTCTTTTTTTTCCCCAAAAATGAGTCTACTTTTTGATGACATTGTGAAAAAATGGACTTTTTATCAATTCCTATTTCAACATTTTCAGTTTGTTCCTCTGATTGCTTTAGAAATCAAAATATTTGTTGCTGTTTCTATGTTCTCTTGAGTCATTTTCATGTCCTATTCTTCAATATGAACTTTGCAATTTACCAATCTTTGTCACCCACTTTTTTCACTTTGTTTTCTTTCACATTCAACTTAGAATTGAATTATACTTATTTTTTGGCTGATTTCCATAGCACAGCCACATAACTATGTGCAGAATTAAGCTAATTTCTTCTTGCTAACATACACCATGAGAAATTTATGTAATTTAATTGATGTTAAGATATCTAACTGACATTGATATAATATATTGGTATGATATAAATTTAATTTCAGAGAACTTCATCTACAATAAATTTGTCACCAGGAGAAGTGGAAGATGATGATGATGATGAAAACACTTGTGGGCCCTCAGGACTCTGGGAAGCATTAACTCCTTGTAATGGATGTAGGAACCTTGGCTTCCCCATTCTTGCACAGGTAATGGTTTACTTTCTTAAGATACAATAAAACTTAAAATGGTTGCCTAGGTTTTTAAGTAAATCTTTTTTATTACCTGCTGAAAATCTAATTAGTATTTTATTTATACTTTGAAAGTTTTCTTCAGTTGAGGGTCAGTAAAATGCTTATATTAGCTATATATATATACGTGAAATGCTTATATTAGCTGTACATGTATGCGTAAGTCAACACATACTCTACATAATTATAATTTTATGTGATTTTATTTTGGTCATGATGCTAGCTCTAGAAAAATTGAGTTGTATAAGAAGTTTTAGTATTAATGAATTTGAAATATTTCATTTTAAAGAATGCTATTTTGAAATTAAATCACAATTCATATTTAAAAAATAAAATGATTTAAAAGAAAGCATGTGAGAGCTCTTTAAAAGCACAGTGATTTTTTTTTCTTAGCACAATGGAATATTGTAGAATAATGTATGCCACTGACAATTATGCACTGCAACCCCAAAATGAGAATAGAACACTAAAACATTGATTATAATTTTGAAATCATTTCACTACTCATTAAGTCACTTTTAGTTCTATTGTATCACCCTCAAGTTTTTCTTGTGCATTATGATTCACAAGCCTTTAGAGGAACTTCAGAAATAAATAAAACAAGCCAAACAGAGTTAGGAAATTTGAAGCCACAATGAATTAATCTCTACGTGAAGATGGAAAAGCACTTAATATGAAAAATAGTGTAATGGCAAAGGTGTGTTTATGTAACTACATAAAATATAAGTGGAAAAATAATCTAGGATAAGAAAGAATTAAATATATCTCAAAAATATTATTTTCTGTTTTGCAACAAATATGAACCAATTGTGTTCAAGAAACCATTACATGTTTTTACATTTATGTCATAACTTAATCATAGCCACCCAAATTCCAATATTGATTTATTGCACTTAAAGAATCTCTTCATCTTAATATGAACTATTTATAGAATTTTAAGACAATTTATACTAACCTTACAGATTTATTTTCAATATTTACTGGCCTGTGAGATCCACAAAGGTATACGGTGTATTGCTCAGTGTCTATGATTTAATGCCAACATTGTTCCTGGAATATTGTCAGAATTAAGTAGTATTTGAATTAAATGATTTTCTATAGGGTTTCATTTCTTCACTTGTTGATGTTTGGTAGAAACCAATGCAATACTGTAAAACAATTATCCGTCAATTAAAAATAAATAAATTAAAAAATGCTTTTACCTACTTAAAAGGGTGTGTTCGTGTATGTTAGTCAAGGATATAGAAGAAAGGAAATTAAGAAACATAGGTTTTGCTTTTATTAATATACTCTTATCTGCTTAACAATTTACCAACAATTGAATGCTTTTACCTATTTTTTGGCTCATAAAATTAATATCTTTGTATTTTTATATAAAATAGCAGAACTCTAAGCTATCATAATATATGACTGTATCTGGGTTCACCATCACCTTATTAGCATTTACATTTATTTTTTAAATTTTAACTTATTTTGTTTTACTAGGTTTAGGAGTTGGCTTGATAGCAACTTGCTTTTGTTTATAATTTTTAATATTTTCTTTGGCACTTTTTTCTGTGTAGGCTTGTATCACTTTAATAAATATTGAGTATTACTGTTTTAATAGCTATGTTTACCCTAAAATGTTTCCCAATCTGAAGCTTTTCTTTCTTTTTTAATATTGTATGGTCATATGTTGTGTAATTTTTTAACCATCAAATTCACTAAACTTTATGGTCTTTTCTTAAAATTCATTTCATCTAGAATTTCTTTTAAAAAATTTCAAATATGGCCTTATATTTGTTTTTAACTTGTTGATGTCTAGTTGTTCTATGACCTTCCATTTGACAATAACTCTCATTCCTTTCATTATATGCCATCCTGCTTGGCTTGGGCTTTCTTCTGGATCTCTTATTTTACTTTTCCTATTTTTAAAAACAATGACCCACTTTGATATTTTTTCACATATACTGTGGGAGAAAACTGTTAGCTGACATGATTGTCTGCTTTTTAATTTATATTTTATACTTTGTCAAATTTAAAAAGTATTCTTATTGGATTTTTAATTGTAACTGCTTTAAATCTATAAACTTACTTGAGATGCACTACCTTTTTAAAAAATGTATTTAATCTAACAAATCAAACATAGAATTCTTTTACCAAGTGTCTCTTCTAGTCTTCTTTTACTAATGTTGTCGATTTGTAATGAGAACGTGTGTGGGGGGTGTGTGTGTGCTTAGTCACTTTAGTCACGTCTGACTCTTCATGGCCCTATGGACCATAGCCCTCCAAGCTCCTCTGTCCATGGGATACTACAGGCAAGAATATTAGAGTGGGTTGCCAAGCCCTCCTCCAGGGCACCTTCCTGACCCAGGAATCGACCAGCGGCTCTTACATCTCCTGCATTGGCAGGAGGTTTCTTTACCACTAGCACCAAACCTGCCTGCCAATGCAGGAGACATAAGAGATTCCTGGGTGGGGCAGATGCCCTCAAGGAAGACATGGCAACCCACTCCAATAGTCTTGCCTGGAGAATCCCATAGACAGAGGAGCCTGGAGGGCTAGAGTCAATAGGGTCATAAAGATTCAGACACGACTAAAGTGACTCAGCACATATATATACATATATAATTACAACAGTTTTAATGTGATGATGCAAACTGTAAAACTACTGATTATATTTCACAATGAAATTAATGTGCAATGGTTAACACACTAGTATAGCTTAAAACATTTGATATGATGCTAGAAGCATCATATCAAATATAAGTTTTTCCTATAACTTGCAACAACTTTGAACTCAGGATTTTCTGGACATATGATTCTGTTATTGATGAAATTTTAAGGAAACTTTATTTAGAAGCCAGTTTTTTCAGATCTGAATTATTTGGGGGGCCATTAAAATCATTAAGCCATAAGCACTGTGCATGTAGGGCTTCATGAAAAGTCCCTACCTTACAGTTTGGCACAGGAGCCTTTGCAATCAGTGGAATTAGTATAGTGCTTAGTAGATTCCTATATATTCAGATTTGCTGGATTGGAATAAATATAATTTATTCTTCTTAGCTGGATCTAGCAAACAGGTATCAGATATCTTGTATTCAAAGTAGAGTGCTAAACTTCAGAAACATGAGGATTATGGAAATACAAACTTAATTGGGAGCCAGATTACCTTTACATTCTGATTCTGGGCTTTAAAACTATATTATTTATCACTTTCAGATTCTTAGATTTTGTACTTGCAAAATTAGAACGTTGCTTGATCTTTTGGATCTTAATTTCCAAAATTATCTAATTTCTAGTTTTTGTCTAGATTTTGAATTGATCCTATATTCAAGTTTCATCTATTTTTTCTGGTTTTTGTAAGGTATTTTCTTCTCTTACTATGACTAGATTGTTGAGGTTTTTATAAGGAGCAATTCATTTCAAATTTATGAGAAATGGAATTCTGAATAACAGGATTAAAATTAAAATATATAGAATATATTGGGAACTTTAGTATAATTTCAAAGCAGTTAAATAAAATTTGAGCTGGGCAAAAAATTAGAAAAGAAATCAAGAATGAAAGGACTAGGAATATGAAGCCCTTTCTGGAAAGTATAATTAAACTCAAGTTTGTTTTTCAATATTCTTGGCAATAATAATCACTGCTGTTTTGAAAATGGAAGTGAGAAGGGAGGAAGTAGAATTCAGAAGTGAGCAAGAACAAAGGTGGGGTTGGGGAAAGATCCTCCAGAGCAGATAATCAACTATTAGATAAGACCCAAGAATGAACATGGGAGTTACACTTTATAACTCTCCCATTTGTGTTGTTGCAATAGTACTTGGGAACCATCTAAACAGGAGACAATCCAATAAAAGTGCTAGGAATAAAATATAAAACTGTATCTTGTGTTTGCTCAAATGGCAAATCCAAATCTGAAATATTTGATTGACTGATAAGCTCAGAAAAAGCTACAGTGAGATCAGGTATTGTCTGGCCATAGGAAACCGAAGTCATAAAAGAAAATGTGGGGGAAGAGAAACTTTTGAGTGAAGATGAAATAAGAACAGGGAATTTTGTTACTTGAGTTTGTTGAATGCAATGAATACATCTAAACAAATGAAAAGCAGTGCTATTTCATAAGAACTGTTATCCCATATCCCTTGGGCTTTTTGTGCTGTAGGCATCTTACTTAGCTTTGTTGCTTTTGCAGATGTTGGAATGACTTACGTGCATCTTATTTTTTCTCTAATGAATTTCTCTTCTTTCAAGACTCACCTGAAGACTCATCTGCTTTTTTGTCTAAACCTTCTCATCTGGAGTTAGGTACACTCTCACTCTGGCTCCCTGGCTTCCATAGCATTTCACTTCTGCCTCTGCCTGTTATTTACATCCTCCCCAGCATAATCATACTAAGTGGCTCTAAACTCATCAAGGTTTATGTAAAGGCTTTGAATGCTCACTCAATCTTGATTCTTTCCATAGAAAAAAGTAGCATTTGCCTAGGGGAAGACAAGTAAAGAAAGTGATGCCAGTAAAATGGCTTCCTTCTCTTTCTGTAGCTAAACAACAAGAGCTTATAGTAAGAATTTTGAGCTTTCAACTCTACTCTGCCATTTGATGCAAGAAGTTCTCCTACAGTATCTCTACAGTGACCACTCCAGTTTTGCTGGGACAGTTTCTGTCAGTGAGAATACTTATTAAAATACACTTTTGTTAGTATTTCTCCTGATCAGGTGATATGTACTTTAATAATTTGATGTATGTGTGTGTGTGCTGAGTTCAGTTCAGTTCAGTCACTCAGTCATGTCTGACTCTTTGCAACCCCATGAATGGCAGCATGCCAGGCCTCCCTGTCCATCACCAACTCCCAGAGTTCACCCAAACCCATGTCCATCGAGTCAGTGATGCCATCCAACCATCTCATCCTCTGTCGTCCCCTTCTTCTCCTGTCCTCAATCTTTTCCAGCATCAGGGCCTTTTCCAGTGAGTCAGCTCTTTGCATCAGGTGGCCAAAGTATTGGAGTTTCAGCTTCAACATCAGTCCTTCCAATGAACACCCAGGACTGATCTCCTTTAGGATGGACTGGTTGGATCTC